TTTGAGTGGAGTTTTTCCAGAACCAATTATTTTCAGACCGGGAGGATTTCCTAAGCAAAGTCTAGTTCAGCAGAGTTTCCAAAGGGCAGCTGTTAGGATGGTGAGACCACTCAAAACCACATCTTGGGAGAAATGATGGAAAGAAACGAAGCCTGGAGAAGAAAACAGTGGGGACCATAATAGCTGTGCTCAAATACCAAGGGGATGTCATTGTGATTTTATTTCTTCTGAAAAGCCTAAGAGAACAGAACTAGGACCAGGTAGAAAAAAATGAAGATATTTCTAAACAGAAAACTTTAATAACTGAAGTTGTCCAAAAAGTTGATGTTTTGTTTTCAGAGTGAGTTTACATCACCAGAGGTGTTCAATCCAAGATGAGCAGTGAGTCCTCACACAGGTGTCCCCTAGATTCTGATCTACAGTTAATGAATTAGCTAACCCTCTCCCACTGTAGACCAACTCAGGGTCATTACCCACGGGTCTATTTACTCATTCAAATAGTTACTGAGTCCCTACTCTGTGCCAGGTACTATTTTAGGAGCTGGGATATTGCTCTTAAAATGTAGCGAAACCTTTGCCCCATATTTTGAAGGTACTAGATACAGAGGAGGGAGGGAATTGATCAGAGCAAGGGGGATGGGAGAGGAATTGAGCTGAAATTTTATATAGGGTGGGCAAGATGGACTTCATTGAGAGGGTGTCGACGAAAATAACCCATAACCAATCCATAAATGAAAATTTGGGAGAGTTTATTCTGAGCTAAAATGTGAGGACCATGGCCCAGGGCCTTTCTTCCCAAAGGAAGAAAGGGCACCAAAGAAGTGGGGTGTACAGAGTAGTTATACACCCCCAAAGAGGATGTTTCACATGTGATTAAAACGTCCCTTTTGCAATAGTCGAAAGACTGCTCTGTCGGCACAGCGATTGATGGACACAGCAGATAGGTCTGCCGTCTTGGTGGACACAGCAGGGTGGCAGTCCCGAGCTGGGTGGTCACAGGTGAGCACAGCAGTCAGTTCCTAGCCTAAGGAAAAATGCTTATCCTTAAGGAGATGCCAATGTGGGGGGAAAGTTGCACCTTTATCTTAAGGGCATTTGTTCTTGCCATAGCAAATGTTTAAAACAGACATACAATGTGTGCTCAACAGCCACGTCATGCACTTTTGGAAAAAACAAAGTCAGGCCGAATTAGGTTTACACCAAATGGCTTCCTCATATACTCCAATATATCCTATTGCTTGCCATTTCTATTGGTCAAGGGTGACATTTAAGAGGCTTCATTGAGATGAGATCATAAACGTGAGTTCCAGGAAAATTATTTGCCATCCCATGGCCAGATAATCAAGTGGCCACCAATCTAAGCCACATACTTTTAGAGTCACTTCCCCCAAGTTGGTCTTTATAGCTGTGCACAAGCCAAAAAAAAACAAGGGCCAAGTGAAGCCCCAAGTCTGGGCCCAAGGCCCTGGCCCTCCTCGTACACCTGGAGCCAGGTTTTCCCCACTTCATAGGGGAGTCCTTGCCACCTGGTTCATTTATCACTGCCACTTCTCATGCATCAGCACCCAGCCTCCCATGGAGCTTCCAGAGATAAAAATCTCCCTACAGTCTTGGTTTTCATTCAAATTGCATGTTGCTCAGATTCTAAAAACTCTAAAGAGTGGGAGGGTTGAAAAGGTTTATTTCAGAAAATTGGCATCCAGGGGCTGCCAAATTCATCGGAATCCCAGGGCACAATAAACATTTGGCAGGAGACAAAAAGCACTCTTAAACATGCCTTGGGTCTAATTTCAAGACTGCTGGGCATCAAAATACACAGGACTTTAGAAAAATATTCAGTAATCCTCTTACTTTGCCTAGTTTTAAAAGATAATGTTTGTGCTCCAACTCTCTCTCTCTAAGACTGCTCCTTTCCTAACTTAAGAAGGACTGTTCTTTTGCCAAAATAACTTTAAAACACAGGGCAGCGTCACTTAAAGGTTTCCAGCTTTTGGTTCCGGAGAAGGATCAGAAAGATACTGATGCAGGTCCCTTCAATAAAATAACCCAGTACAGATTTCATTCTCCTGTTAATGGATGCAGCGGAATCCCCAGCACTTGCACAGGGAACTTTATACTAAATAGTATACATTCACGTGTCGCCTAACTAAAGGGATATGTTCTCAGAAATGTGTCCGTAGGTGATTTCGTCGTGTGAACATCATAGAGTGCACTTATACAAACCTAGATGGTACAGCCTACTACACATCCAGCCTCCATAGTATTAATCTTATGGGACCACTGTTGTATATGCAGTCTGTTGCTGACCCAAACATCGTTACACAGGGCATGACTGTATTACACATTTCTGGGCTCATTTCACTAAGGACAGAGCCCTTAGAACAAATACTACTAAGTATATTACAAAAGCGTCAACAACCTAACCTCTAGAAAGAGACTAGTGACAACAACAAGAAAACAACACACCAGAGTTGAGAGCCCACGGGAGGCGCATATGCTCAGGGCCTAATTACTCCCCAGGTTCAACTAAAGCACAATCATACTCACACTTAACTGTGCACAAGTTCTTTAACATCTCCCACTTGAAATAAAAATGGGGATAAAAGTAATTGCCAAGAGGATTAATGAGTTAATACTTGTAAAGTGCTTAGAACACTGCCTGACTCTATAAGTGTTTACTAATTAGAAAACAAATGTGCAATCTTTATATCTAATAGGTAAGGTAATTTCTATAAAGGAATGGCAAGGCTGGGGAGGAAAGTCCTTCCCAAAGCAGCTTTCAGATTCCCTCCCTATTCGATGGCTTCTCACTAGCATGAGCCCTGCTGCGTGATCCTGGGTGGTGTTAGCTAGAAGCCGGATGCTGAGAGCCAGAATGGAATAACCATGGTCACGACAGCCCCCTTCTTCCATGTGGTTTATGATCCACTACAATGAAACCAGCTCAAGCAGAACAAAGAAACAAATACAAATATCCCAGGTTACAGCTGGCTGTCAGAAGCCATTAAATATCTCACTCAATTGTTTTACACCCTTAACACGAAGAGAACCCGAAGAGAACCCGAACCCTTTGCCTCCTCACATACCCGGCAACTGTAACTGCACATTTATGTATGAGATTCAGGGCTTCAAAAAGCATTAAAAGTGTTCTGATAACAACCAATTTTAGATGAAATTCACACCAACCAATTTAAGACGAAAACATCTCAGATATGTTTCTCATGTATAAAATTCCATGTGATGAATTATAAAGAAATCTCCTTAATTCCTCAGAGAGACACCTCCCTACCACAAACAAAATAGGTGCTTAGGTTAATCACCATGTAAAAGTGGGCTACACCACACCTTCTTGTTGAAAACAAAAAATTACCGATCATCAAGATATCTGACTTTGTGAAAGCATCAGCTTAGTCATTTCAGTTTTAGTGCTGTCACAGTTATGCCTTTAAGTTGCCTTTAAGATGCTTCAACCTTTCATACATGATTTGGACTCTCTATTATGATGATAAATTCCTATGCAACAAACAGGAATTTGTTGCTCTTTCGGAAAGAACTGAGTCCCTGAGGCAATCTAGGCTACATTCAAAGTACACCACCACACACTAAAGACCTGAGAGGTGGAACCAATGGATGCTAGATAATTTCACCAGGCATTGATTTAAAATGGGACGGGGCATTGCAAGTGCATTTGTTTTTATATAAATAATGCTGTCAGATTCACTTCTCCATTCTTCTGTCTGGGAAGTCATCAAGAAGATGTGATTCCTGAAGTCTTAAAATTCTGAACAAATGGAAAGAATGCAATTGCGGAGGCACTCCACAAAAACATTAAATACCAAGCCAGGAGGATATTAGGAACAAAAATAGGCAGTCTTTGCTATGGCGGAGCATGGCCCAAGAAACTTTTCCATCCACTTTCCTTTCAAGATAGCTCAGACTTTCCCTTCCAACATTTTATAACAATTATTTTTTAATAAACGAAGAGAACCAAGTAGTCATTTCCAGCACTAACACCCAACTATTAAAGTCTTACAACCCTCTAAAATAGGAAAGACAGAAAGAGATGTAAGTTACTCCTTACCCATTTACTTTGACTTCATTAATTTCATGCAGATTTCCCTTCAAAATAATGAAGCTGAGCAGGGAGTTGAACAACCCCTAATTCAGGCTCTTCACCCCAGAATCTCACTAGTTCACGTTTTAAAGAACCCGCTTTAACAAGAATGGAATGGCCGCCCCACCAGACGGTGTCACTTGGAGCCAGGAGCGGCCGGGGTCCCAATGTGGGTTGCAGTCACCAGGCATTTTCACCCTCAGTCACTTCAACAAGTTTCCTCTCTTGTATTCAGCAAATCACACTCACAAGCAGAAATGTTTCCTCCTGCTCATCTCTGCTACTTCGCTGGCATTACCGTGACATTTTCTGACGACTACATCTCCACGCGCTCGCAACCCCACCCTCCAGCTGCCAACCCACTCCAACCTCAAACCGCTGGGCGTCCCGGACTCTCTGCGCCTGCGCCAGTCCCAGGACCACCCCTCCCCAACCGCGCCCGCACCTTGTCCTCTCCCCCCCACCTCCCGCCTTACCCGGACCGGATCCGGGGCCCTCCTCGGGCGGGAGCGGGGAAGGGGACGTACAGCACATAAGGGTCACTCCCGAGTCCTCCCAAACCGGCGCGAGAAGCGAGAGAAATAAGCAACGGGGGGAGGGAGGCAGGCGGTGTTGGGTAGGGGTAAATGCACAGGACAGTGAGGAGCAGCGGTGGGGCCCAGGGGTAGTAGCCTCCCTGTCAAATGGGTCCCCACGCCTTCCAGCACCGGGACTTATGCAGGTCCGTGAGGAAGTGGCTCTCTGCCGTTCGACCTTTCGTGTTCTCTCAGATGGTCTTCTGGGGCGCCTCGGTACTGCGCCCCGCTCAGCCCCCTGCATTGTTCGCGCTCCACGAGTGCATCTGGGAGGCGACCCGGGCGGAGCCGCCCAGGCCACCGGCCCCTACCTCCACCAGCAGCCCAAGCAGCAGCGCCACCACCCTCCCCGGCAGGCAGCTCATGGCTCCGCGTCCTCTCCGGGCGCGCCTGGCTCTCAGGCCGCAGGCGCGGGTCAGCAGCACGTTCCCCCGCGGTGGGCGAGTAGGCGGGCGGTCTCCAGCCTCCGACCAGCGAGCGCTGGGAGCCGGGCGGCAGCCGGGCGTGCCGGGAGCCAGCACGCGCCGCGCAACCCTCGCCGCGCTCCGCCCCGCGCTCCATCGTCCCCCGCCGCGCGCTCCCGACACGTCCGGTTGGGCGCGCGCTCGTGGGCACGGGGAGCCGAGCCCCGACTGGAGGCACAGCTGTTGGGCGCCGGGGTCTGCGGAGCGGGAGAGCACGCGCCAGGAGCTGGGACTGGGATCATAAGCCAGGCGAGGGGAAGAGGAGCTGCCAGATGTCTCCTCGGGGAAGACCGTCCTGTCACCCTTGAATAGACCAAGGAAGGTTTATTAAGAGAAGCAAAGTCTCCGCCGGGCAAGGCTTGTTCCTGAGGGAGGTGGCTGTAAATGAACCCATTGCTCCATCTTGCGTCCTGTGCCTCCATGTTCTTCATTCTCTTCCAATTCCTGCGAACCGCCGGGGCGTGCGCCCTACCCACGTGTGACGGGAAGAACAGCGAAGGGACGAGGGAGGTAGACTGGGAATAGAAGGTTCCCTGCACTTCATTTTGTGGGGACCTGGAATTGACCACGCCAAGATATGTCTCTTTGGCATCAGGATTATTTGAGGCTGATTGCTTTTGATAAACTGGGACAGGGAAGGAGGCTCTGAGGAGTGGAACTTGCCCTTTGTTAGGACACGTTTACATTTGTAAGGTAAATCTCTATCTGTAAAAGGTGCCTCCCTCTCTGTACCAGGAAGAAGAAAGGCGATGACCTACTCTCCAAAAACTCTTAATCAATACCAAAGGCAAGGACTTAAAATCTGCATTTTATTGTGCTAGTCTGGTAACCTCCTGTAACTGACTTCCCTCCCCCTCCCAACTTTGGCATTCCTTAAGGATTAAGCATCTTTCCTTAGGCTAGGAACCGATTGCTGCTGCCCTCACCTGTGACCGCCCAGCTCCAGACATAGACTTGCCTTCTGCTACGCCCACCGAGATAGCAGACCATTACCTGATGTATCCATCAAGCACTGTGCCAACAGGGCAATCTTGTGACTATTGTGGGAGGGACATTTCAATCACATGTGAAACACCCCGTTTGGGGGCTAAATAACCACTCTGTGCACCCCACTTCTTCGGTGCCCTTTCTTCCTTCAGGAAGAAAGGCCCCGGGCCATGGTTCCTCATAAAGCTTTGTTTAATTTTCTCTTGCTATTCTGTCTCATGTGAATTTAATTCGTTCTCCAGCCAGACGAACCCACATTTGGGGAGAGGAAATGTCCTCCTCCCCTACAATCTCTTACTTAGTTGTCAGTGCTTTTTATGCCAGCATCCTCCTGCCCTTGCCTGGACTTGACCACGTTGAACAACTGCACAAATGAGGTGGAATCTGAGGCACGTTGCGAAAAAACTATGGAGGGCGCAGGTAGTGGGGGTGGAAAGGCGGTTCACAGAGGCAAAGGGCACCTCAAACTCAGCAGCTGGAGGGTGGATTTCAATGTGGGCCAAATAAGCGTTTACTGAACTTGTAAGATGTAGACCACCTGAGCTGGAGGGCCAGCATGTAAGAAAACTACACCTGGAGTGTAAAGGAGAAGAGAGTTTCTCACATGACTATGATACAGTGCTGAGTGCAGAGACCAGGGAAGTCGAGGATAATAAAGAAGCATAAAGGACATGAGCCCACCCTTGACTGGAGGTGGAGGAAGGAGGTTCATGACATAGGTGTCACTTAAGGCGAGTCTCAAACACTTTCCAGGTTTCAACACATGTACTCATCTGATGACTATAAAACATGCACCAGCAGACTATTCCTGATAGAACCAGAACTTGAAAGTACAGCAGAAAATAAGCCTGTGGCCTTCATAGTCATGGTAAGGCACCTCAGACAAGACAAACAAGGGTCTTGGGACCCTAGTAACTTTGACTTACTATTGACAATTGAGGCATTTTACTAGTATTTTTCAGGGCAGTCACTAACTGGTAGAAAACTAAGGGGAAAGCCTAGTTGTATACTAGAGGTGCAAACGGTTTTTTTCAAGAGACAATATAGATGATCTCATCCTGTAAAAATGCAAATGACCTCTGCTAGGGTCAGAACCTTAACCACTTTTCTATTTAATTTATGGATCTCATATTGATGAGGATTTTTAGGCTGGTTAATTTTAAAACTACAGATGAGAGGCAGGCTCCGAGGAGTGGAATTTGCTTGTCCCTTTGTTGGGAAATATTTACATTTCTAAGGGAAACCTCTATCTGTGAAGATGCCTCTCTCTCTGTGCCAGGAAGAAGGGGGATGGCCTTATCTCTAGAAACTCTTAATCAATGCCAGAGGCAAGAACTTAAGTTGTTTACTGTCTGGCAACCTCACGTAACTGATCCCTCCCCCCCCCAAATCCTCCTTTCTCTTTAGCTGAGGATAATATTTAAGCGGTGACTTCTGCCATTTACTCAATCCGGTTTACTTCTTATCTAAAAGTTGTGGGACTGCCCAATGGCCAGACCCTACCAGCACGGATACCATTTTAACTTTTATTGTCTTGTAAAGAGGTAACTCACACACCTGTGCCTTAACTTTAAGCCTTACTCTCCACCCAACTTTGCAGCAGAAGCGGCAGCAGCAATAGCTTCTCCTGCCCATGGGCCCTGTCCCCACGCAGCAGCCTGACTGCCTATGGGTCCTGTCCCCATGCCGGCAGCAGAAGCTCTGACTGCCCATGGGTCCTGTCCCCATGCTATTCTATTCTCTAAATAAAAGGGCACTACTGCCAGATCTTAAGAGTCTAAGAAATCTTTCGACTCCTTGGCTCACTGACCCCGCATCATTTCTGGTGGCCCGTACAGGGAACTTGCTTCATCAGCTTGTGAGCTCATGTTCTGGTAAGTGCCCTTTTTCCTTGTATCTTTCTCTTTTTTGAGGATGGATCTAAATTCACTTCTCCATCGGCAACTTTCTTGGATGGCTGTATGAACCCACATTTGCTGCCCATGGCTACTCTATGGGGCAAATTGTGGCATTCAGCTTGAAGAGAATCAGTACCTTAAGCCTCAGGGTGATGAAGAATGAATTAATCCATTCCTTCTTGACTCTATCTCTAATATATAAATTTTACGTGGGCATGGGTTGGCCACTTAAGTCATTAGGACAGTCGCCAATCTCCAAGACTCCTCTGTTGCCACCAAATGGAGGTTAAGTTCAGGCTGGACCTGAGCAGAACCTTGACCTTCTGTAAAATTGAAAAAATAAGCCTTTTGCCAGGGATTTAACTCTCAAACCTGGCGCTGGGAGCCCCAGCCTCCAGCCAGTTCTAGGCCTTTGCCTCCTGCTTCCCTGCCTCAACTGTGCTGGCTCAGAGACAAAGTGCCCAGGCTGAGCGGGACTTGACTAAATCTTATAACTATGTCAACACCCGCAATCGGCCTCTGCACCCTTTCTCCAGCTGCTGTCAATCAGACACACTGGCTTTACTGCCATGGGGAAGGCCCCTAAGCATCCCCAGAGATCCACCCTGCGAATGCATTCTGACTCCATCTGGGAGAAAATTTGAGGGGTTTCTCTGTGTCTTTGTGATGCAGTTGGACAGGTAGATCAACCTGGAATGTAATTTGAGTTACAATCCAGTTTCTGGGAAATCAAGAGCAACTGTTCTTAGAAAATCCTTGCAAAAACTGGAAATACAGCTCTAGAGGCAGTTCAGATTCCACCTAGTTCCTTTATCACAAAAAGGATTATCATCTCCCCTCTCCAGGAAATATTATCTAGCCCATCATTAATTCCTAATACTGAAAAAAAAAAAAGAGAGGAGGGGAGAGGCAAAACGTCCATAAGCGTGCCCTTGCCAAAAAATCTAGCATCTTGAGTATCTTCACCACAAATATCGGTAAAAAACACAATAGCTGTGCAGTCTCTGTGTACGTGTGTCTATGTGTACGTTATATGTGTGATATTTTACCTCCGGATGGTATTGCCAAAATTGAGCTCTGTTTAATTGGCTTAAAGTAAGCACTTACATGAATTCTAAATGTAGTAGAAATTAATCCAATGTCTTTCAAGTTAACGTGATGTTGATGCGGGATCGGTGAGCCGAGGAGTCGAAAGAAAGATTTCTTAGACTCTCAAGATCTGGCAGTAGTGCTCTTTTATTTAGAAAATAGTGTGGAATAGCATGGGGACAGGACCCATGGTCAGTCAGAGCTTCTGCTGCCGCCGCTTCTGCTGCCCCCGCTGGCATGGGGACAGAGCCCATGGGCAGGCAGAGCCGCTGCTGCTGCCCCCGCTGGCATGGGGACAGGATCCATGGGCAGGCAGAGCTGGTGCGTGGGGACAGGACCCACGGGCAGTCAGAGCTCCTGCTGCTGCCCCGAGTTGAGGGTTAGGGCTAATTTTATAAGGCATAGGTATATGATTCATCTCTTTACAAGACAAAGGAAAGAACATGAAAAACAGTTAAAATGGTATCAGTGCGGGTGGGGTCTGGTCATTGGGTGATCCCATGACTTTTAGACAAGAATCAAATCGGATTAAGTAAAGGTTAGAAAGGTTAGACACCACCCCCCTAAACCAGTTACATGAGATTGCCAGACAGCAACCAACTTAAGTTCTTGCCTCTGGCATTGACCAAGAGCCTCTAGAGATAAGACCATCCCCCCCTCTTCCTGGCACAGAGAGGGAGGCATCTTCACAGATAGAGGTTACCCTTAGAAATGTAAATGTTTCCCAACAAAGGGGCAAGCAAATTCCACTCCTTGGAGCCTGAATCTCATCTGTAGTTTTAAAACTAACCAGCCTAAAAATCCTCATCATAAGCCATTTTAAAATTAAGCAGCCTAAAAATCCTCATCACTACGACCAGACCTTGAGAGCCCAAAAATCTTTCTTTCAACTCCCGGGCTCACCGAGCCCACATCATTTATAATGTACACTAGAGAGATCGTCTGGATTAGGGGATGCAACAGAAACAAGTGTGTGTGCACACCGTGCAAGCACACGCCACACTCCCTTGTCCTTTGCCACCAGTGGGAGGGTTGGAATTTAAACTCTTTGCAGTATTGGAGACAGAACAAGAGTAAGTCGCTGTACGATGATGA